TAGAAGCAGGATTCACAGGTGTTGGGGACCCCTTTGAAGTGGGAGCAGGGGAGAAGGAGAGCTGCTTTTCTGGCCTCCGGAAACTCGGCATGTGTGGGATGCTCACAGATCCGCAACCAGAGACAGTTAGTTGGCCATGTGGACTGGGAGCTCAGGACAGCGCTCAGGCCAGAGACGCCAATTAAGTGTGACTCCTCTTGGCCCAGAGAGTCTGGCAAAAGTGATTTAACCAGAATCATCCCAGGGTGCTGCCTTGTCCCCCTTTACCTGCATGTGTAGCCCTCGAGTCTCTATATACCCAGAAATTAATCTCCTCCATTTCTCCTACTGTGATTGATGCTGCAAGAATAAATATGACAGGGGACTTCTCTGATGGTCCAGTGGTTAAGACCTCACCTTCCAGTGCAGGAGGAACAGGTTCAATCCCTGGTCAGGGACCTAAGACCCCACAAGCCTCAGGGCCAAAAAAACAAAACATAAAATAGAAGCACTATTGTAACAAATTCAATAACGACCTTAAAAATTAAGGATGACATTTGATGACCCAAATCCAATGAGACACTGTTTAACATGTTTACCCAAGTTGTAAACCCTTTACTTGTGACCCTCAAACACCACCCCCATGTTCAACCTCAAAGCAGGTTTGTTTACTACTTCCTAGTTTTCAGGGACTCCTCTCTGAATAAGTCTCAAATAATGATGCGTGAAAGTGAAAGTTGCTCAGTCGTGTCCGACTCTTTGCGAGCCCATGGACTATACAGTCCATGGAATTCTCCAGGCCAGAATACTGAAGTATTCTGGGGATCGAACCCAGGTCTCCTGCCTCGCAGGTGGATTCTTGACCAACTGGGCCACAAGGGAAGCCTAGTGATGCTCAAAAAACTTGTGTTAATTCCTTAAGGAGTTTAACAGGTTATTCTGAGCCCCTGCTGATGTAAAAACATCTGGGTTTTTAAAATATATTCAGTCACTTCCTGCCTGATCTTTGTTTGTCTTTCCACCCTCCTTTCCAAGAGGAGTGAGTTGTTTTCTTTCTAATCATACCACGCTTAACCCTCACCTCACCGCAGTGCTGTTCTCCGGGCCAGCTGGAAGCCCATGCCATAGGCCAGTGGAAGCGACTCAGGCTTGGGACTGCATGGCCGGCCAGACGGGGGCCTGCCACTCTCTCTGGTTCTAATGAGGAGCACAGAGGAAGGGAGCTCCCGCCCCTTCACACAGAGAGGAAACAGAAACTCTGTGCCCTGCAGTGTAAAGACAAGCTTGCAGGTAGAATTGTAGCCCGCAAAAGGATCTAATTAAAACAAAGTTGCAGGACTTCCCTGGTGGCACAGTGGATAAGCATCTGCTTGACAGTGCAAAGGACATGAGTTTGATCCCTGGCCTGGGAAGATTTCACATGTCACTGAGCAACTAAGCCTGTGCTCTAGAGCCTGCAAGCCACGATGACTGAGTCTACGTGTCACAGCGACTGAAGCCTGCATGACCTAGGGCCTGTGAGCCACAGATAAGGAGCTCTGTGCCACAACTACTGAAGTGCCTTGAGCCTGTGATCCGCAACAAGAGAAGCCAATGCAATGAGAAGCCTGTGCCCTGCAACTGGAGAGCAGCCCCCGCTCTCCACCACTAAAGAAAGCCTGCTTGCAGCAAGAAAGATACAGCGCAGCCAAAAAAACAAAGCATAAACAGAAGCGATATTGTAACAGATGCAACAAAGAGCTTTTTAAAAATGATCTACATCAAAAAATCTTGGGGAAAAAAAGGTCAAAAAGGATTTTGGAAATTTTATCATTATTATTTTAATTTTTTTTGAAGCTGTGTGATTCTGTTTTATTTTTTATTTTTTGGCTGTACCACACAGCATGTGGGGTCTTAGTTCCCCAACCAGGGATCAAACCTGCACCCCCTACTTTGGAAGTGCTAAAGCTAAACCACTGGACTACCAAAGAAGTCCCCAAAAAGCATTTTTCAATTTTCTTCTCTTGCTAACTGGTGAGGTGGTAAAAATGACAAACTGCAGAAGACCCCTCTGACCTCCTTGCCCCGTTTCAAAGAACCACCTCCTCTTTCACATGCATACTGTTTGCTCCCTCTGAAGCAGCCACCGACTCCCCTGAGAAGTTCCGATGACTGCTCCCCAGCACTGCAGTGTGTGGCCTAAAATCCCTGACACTGCAGCGATCCTGGAGATATTGGACTGGCCACTTGGGCTCGAGGACAAACCAGTTAGAGGGGATCTCAGAGGAAACTGGGGCACAGAAAGGGCGCTGGCTGCCTCGGACAGACCCTGTTTTCCAGACCAGGAGCACGGGCTTCCTCACTCCGTGTGAGAGTGGAGGCCACCGGAACTGGAGTTCAAGTCAGCAGAACGACAACTTCCTCAGCTTGAAAAGGTCGTGCGTTTCTTCCCTTAGAAGCATCAAAAAAAAGAAGAAGCAGCAGCAGCATCCAGAGCACCATTTCTTAAACTTCAGCCTGGAAAAGTCCCTATAGCCGAAGCTATGGCTTTTCCACTAATCATGTATGGATGTGAGAGCTGGACAATAGAAAAAGGCTGAGTGTCAAAGAATTGATGCTTTTGAACTGTGTTGTTGGAGAAGACTCTTGAGAGATCAAACCAGTCAATCCCAAAGGGAATAAACTCTGGATATCCATTGGAAGGACTGATGCTGAAGCTGAAGCTCCAGTACTTTGGCCACCTGATGCGAAGAATCAACTCACTGGAAAAGACCTTGATGCTGGGAAAGGTTGAAGGCAGGAGGAGAAGGGGACGGCAGAGGATGAGATGGCATCACCAATTCAGTGCACATGAATTTGAGCAAACTCCGGGAGATAATGAAGGACTGGGAAGCCTGGCGTGCTGCAATTCGTGGGACACAACCGAGAGTCAGACACGACTGAGCAACTGAACAACCACAAAAGATCACAGTGAGAGTTTTGTGCAGTGCTGATTCCTAGGCCCCAGCCTCAGAGATTCTGATTCCATCAGTTCAGGGTGGAGCCTGGGACTCTGCCTTTCTAACCCTCTCTAGGAAGTCTTCTTGCTACTGCTCCATGGACCACGCTGGGATCACCCCTGACCTTACCCACTGTGTTCGTTCGGGTAAAGGCTAAAGAGATGTCAGAATGCAGCACCCCAGGCAGCCGGTCAGCGGTGCTCGCTGAGTCCCTGGGTTCCAGGAGCCTCCGATATCCTCAGCAGTGGCCCCTATTTCCAGCCAACAGTGAGGAAACTCCTCTGAAGCAAGCGATGGGCAATTTGCACACATTTCTTCTGCTCACATGTCGCTAGCAAGAAGCCAAGCAGCAGTCCCCACCGAGGTGAACAGAGCCTCACTCAGTGGCCATGTGCTCAGCGGCCGTGCAGCGAGGAGGGAAGAAAGGAAGGATGTTTAGGGTACCGTCTGCCACCTATGACACACGATCCTGTAAACAAGAGATCTGAAGAGCGCACGGGGAGGCTGATGTCGTGGGTCTGGTGAGTCTGCGTGAATCTGAGCTTAGGTGTCTCGTGGGAGACTGTCACAAGCCCCAGGCAGACCAGGGTAGCAGAGCAACCAGGCTCTGGAGGCAGAGGCTCAGATCCATGCAGGTGAGCTGTGTAAAGCAGCCCCCGTGCGACCTGGGACGGGTGACACGCTGTCTCTGAGCCAAGGCCACCTCCTGTGTAAACCGTGGTGATAACACTGTGATTGTCTTTATACGGGGCCCCAGTAAATGGCAGGAATCCCAGGCGTTCAGGTCACCATGAGGCGGGGTAGGGAAGGGGGGAGGGCCCTGGTTGATCTCAGACTAGATTAGGATGTCTGCTCACTTTATTTGCCAATTAAATGAACCCTTTCAGCTAGTTTTTAAATTCCCCCTTGGCAATAGAGATGGTGAAGAAAACAAGTGCCCTCGATGGGAGTGGGCGAGGCAGACACTGCACCGCTGGAGACCCCAAGAGGGGCTGGGTGAGGGGCTCTCTCAGTGGAAGCAGTAACAGGGTGTGGGGGGTGGGGGGCAGGGATGTAGTGGTTGGAGTGGTGGATGGAGGTTGGGCGTGCACTTCATTTCACAAGCATTTATCAGGTTCCTTCAAGCATGGGGCTCCGTGCTGGGAAACAACCAGAAATATGACCCTTGACCTCAAAGAGCACCCAGTCTAATTGGGAAGCCGAGAAGCAAACCCGCAACCATGATTAAGTACAGGCCAAGGCTGTGATCGAGGCATGGGGATGAGCAGAAAGGTCTGGAAACCTCAGGGTCAGTTCCGGGCAGGGGGAGGCGAGCTGAGGAAGGACTTCAGGAGACAGCACGTGGCCCAGGTTGGAAGTGGCTTAGCCCTGGGATGGGGGAGTCAGCCTGCAAGCACTGCCCACTGCTGACCGAGAGGAAAGGAACCTTCTAGGTGGGAGGCCATGAGAGAGTACAGCTTGTTCAGGGACCTCAAGCAGGACTGGGCTGCTGAGAAGGGAGGGAGAGGAAAGCTGGGGGGCAGGGGATGGGGTGGGGGCCTTTTCCTGAAAGTGACGGAGTCACTGAAGGATTCTGGACTAGAGGAGGCATAAAGGCTACCCTCAAGTCCTGCACAGAGAGGTTTGAAGGGAAGTGAGGTGGGGAGTGAATGAGGATCTCCTCACTCGAATCCAGGGAGGGTGGTTAGCACCAAGCAGCTCTTAAAGGGGCGAAGTCACAGGATCTGGGGGGAGCGGAATGTCACCAGCACTGCTGGCTCTGAGTTAACTTCTCAGATTCAGGAAGCAAAGGAATCAGGGCACGTGCTGCTGAGAGGCCCGGGCCAGCCTTGGACTTTGCGGGGAGGGGAGGGGCGCGCCAGGGACCCCAGGCTTCCTGGTCCCGTGCCATCTCCCCAGCCCCGTCTGATCTGAGCACTGGAGGTGACTTGATAAAGCCACCCTCTGCATCAGACCCACAAGCCGGTGCTCTCAGCCTGGCCTCCAGTCTGGGTAGGTGGGTGGTGGTCCCGCCGAGGAGCTGCCAGAGTCACCCAGCCTGGCTCACCCCCAGGAGAGGAGGAGGTACTCGTAGCTAAGGAAGGTGATGGCGTTGACTGGAAAGGCGCGGGCACTGTTGATGGTGAGCCCCCGGAAGAAGACCCCCAGTCCTTCCTGCCGGGCGCTGCTCACTATGCAGTCCAACAGCCCCCCGTAGGCTCTCTGCTTCAGCCCCGCCATCTGCATCCGGGACTTGATCACGTCTAACGGGGTGGCGGCGACCCAGGAGATGATGCCGGCAGAGCCCCCTGCCACCAGCACTGTGCCCGAGCCTGGGGGACAGGAATGGGGAGGTATTCAGCAAGGAATGAAACATGCCCCCATCCACAGTCTCCCTCCCCATCCTCCAGGCCACCCCCCTTTCCTCCCGCCTCTCTGTCCCCCGCCCTCTGACACCACTTCACTTACTGGGGTTCTGGCCCTCCGGTGTGAGTTGGCGACACAGCCATTCGTAGGTGACGAAATAGATTCCCAGGGTGGGGGTGTCCCTCAAGGTCAGGGCCCAGGCTCCCCGGAACAGCCCCTGGGGCCCCTCGGCCTGGAGGATGGAGGCGGCACAGTGAACGGGGCCCCGGTACCGCGGTGGGGGGCTCCCCGGCTTCTCCCTGGGCTCTGTCTGGTTTTGTAGCCGGACTTTGATGAGATCAAAAGGAGCCAAGCAGTAGGCCTGTAGGGAAGCAAGCACGAAGCCTGGGTGGACCTTTGGACAGGAACAATCTCTCCAAGTTATCTTAATGGGAGGAAGGCAGCGAGTAGATAGGACAGCATCTTTCTGCAGGACCTCGCGGGCTCCCATGACCACTCTCAGCCTCTCTCACACTCAGTGGGGAATGGGCTAGAGCCCCCTCCCTTACCATCAGACCCGTGATAGCAAGGAGCCCTGCCCCTCCCCTCGGCCAAACTTGCTGACACACCCATGGCTCTAAAGAGTTCCCTAGCTGGCCAGTGCTTAGGACTTGGTGGTTTCATTGCCATGGCTGGGGCCCCCCCAAAAAACAAAAAGAGAATTCCATCTGTGCCCACAAAACAGCAGGGGATGGAACCCTCCCCACGGATAAAGAGGTCACCTCGATCATGTTGGGGACTCAACTTCATAGACTCCTCCGGCCTCACCCCCTGCCAGACGCCTCTCAGAGGCCCCTGGGTGGGGAAATGCACCTCACAAAGCCCCAGACTCTAGCGTCCCAAGAAGGTGGGTGACAGGGTGGGATCTGAGGGTCCTCGAACATGATGGCTGAGGCGGATGAGACAGATCTGAGGTAACATTGGTGCTGGAGGGAAGGGAGGGGCCAAGATGTGAGTCAGGGATGCAACTAGGGCAAGTTCAGGTGAGGACTGAGGTCCCAGACATTTCTGGACTTGGGTGTTTTTTGTTTTTCTTTCGTGGAAGGCACATAAAGTCCTCAGCCCTGGAGATGGCTGATGGCAGCGGCGGAGGCTGCAGGTTGGCTGTGGTGGTGACCTTTAGAGGGTGGCAGCTGGCTTACTTCCTCCCCCGCAGGAAGGGCAGTGGGCTGGGGTCCCTTCCTATGAGAAGGTGCTGTGATGTCACCCTCCCAGCAGAGCCCAAGGGCCGTACTGAGCTGAGGGCTTCACCTGAGGGTGAAGACATGGGTGGGCCAAAGGCAGTGTGGCAGGGAGGGGTGGGCTCGGGTCCCTGCCATCCCCACCTGTGCCCACAGGGGCCGTAGGGATATCAGACACTGTACCAGCCTTAGCCGAGTCAAACGCAACTTTTGTACACAAGAGGTGGTCATTCCTTGCTTTATGCTAACCAGAGTCTTCCTCCCCATCACCATGCAAAATATACATTTTCCGCTCTAAGGTGGAAATCAGAGCCTTGGGCTTGGTGGTAAATGGAGCTTCACGTGGTCCCTGGACCCTATGCCCATCAGTGACCTAACCGTCCCCAGTTCCATCTGTTCTGCTTTCCGAGGAATCAGAGAGGAGGGGGATGGAGGAGCTGGGCCCAGCTGAACCTAAATCAGGCCACTTGACCTGGGGGCTCACTCTCTTTCCTGTTTTTCGGGGTGCAGGTCTCAGAGTTTGGGAAATATGCAGGCATGAATCCCGCACTAGGGGCAGAAGCAAAGCCAGGACATTTCTGGTCTCATGAATTATTAATTCACTCAATGAGCCCCTGACTCTGTTCTTTGTCCTTGCTCTCTGCCCTGAAGTGGACAGAGCATCAGGGCAGGTGTCAAGTAGAGGGTGACCTGGGATACTAGCTGGGGGGTGGGGTGCAGCCAGGTGCACGCCCTCCAGCCTCTGCACCCAGCCCCGCCCTTAGCTGGGGTTCCCTCCACCCCACCCCTCAAAACCCAGTATTCGAGCACTGAGAACAAAGACCAGAACCAAATGGTTAGTCACTTAATAATTAACACCCTGGACCTCTCCCAGCGAGATCTGTGAATGGGCCACGGGTGAGGGTCAGAGATGGCAACAGACCCCCCCGAGGTGGGCACCAATGGCTGTCTTCTTAGCACTGTCCCCCCCTCACCCCAGCTTTCTCTCCCCTTTGCCCCTTCTGTTCTCCATGACTCTCCCTTCCAGACCTGCAGCCTAGAAGGCCGCCACTCAGCCAGGCCAGGTCCCAGGAGCAGGCCTTTCCCCACCACTCCTCATGTTCCCCTTGAGAAGGCTGGGGATCTGCGGCTGTGGGTCACCAGAGGCGGGTTGGAGGGAAAGGAATGAACTGATCATCACTATGCAAGTGTGTGTGTGTGTGCCTATGCACCCCCTCACCTGCAGGAACCCCCCGGTGCAGCCGGCTATGAAGACGTGTGTGTAGCTGGGCGGCTGGGCCCGCCGTTCCTGGTGGGAGGTGGCTGTCAGCGCCAGCAGTGCATTGCTGTAGACCCCAAACAGGACGGAGTTGACCACAGATATGCTGGCGATGGGGAAACTCATCCCCTTGAAGAAGCCCAGGAGCTGCAGAGACATGGTGTGAGCTGGCTGGGGGCTCTGGGAGCCTCCCCTTGGCCCCCTCCAGGCCTGGCACAGCCTCCTCTGGCTGGAAACCACTCCTGAGTCCGGCCACAGGCAAGTGGAGGCCAGCGAAGGCGGGGGATGGCCTCAGCTCCACTTTGGGGGGCGTGAAGCTACTGCTCAGCCCACTCCTGGTGGCCCCAGACTTGGGTCTTGTTTCTCTCTTCCAGGGGGCAGAGCCCTGCTGGGGGAGAAGGAAGCTGGCCCTAACCCCCAGAGGCCTCCTGCCCCTAAGTCCCCCAATGCAGGCCACCCACCGACTCATGGCGGTAAGTCTTGACCATACAGTCGACGATGCCCCGGTACGTGGTCTGGGTCTGCAGCCGCACCTGGACAGGGAGGACAGAGCAGGCGGGCAGGCCGGGCATCCAGCCGGCCCGGCCCTCGGGCCCTTTGAGCGGGACCCCAGCAGGGAGGGAGAGGCAGGGAGAGCCTCCACGAGCCAGGCCCTGCTCTCTTCCTGATGTCTGCTTCAGCCGACATCTTTCCTTTCTTGGCGCCTCCCCTAGACTCACCTTCACAGTATCCAAGGGGTGTCCCAAGACCAAGCCCAGAGCTCCTGTGGGGATGATAAGGTGCTAGGAGTGAGGCCTCTCGGGCTGGGCTGAGGAAGCCAGAGGGGAGCGGGATTCAGGCCGGAGGAAAGGGGACAGGGCCCACCTGCCAGACTCCAAAGAAATGCCAGTTGCCCCCTGGCACCTTCCTCCATGCCAGGCACTGGGCAGGGAAGGTGTGAGGAGCAGAGAGAGTGAGCCTGGCCCTGCCTGGAGGACACACATGCGGAGGGGAGGAGCCAACCCCAGACACACAGGGTCTTCACCCGTCTAGACTTGACCCCCGAGCAGCCTGCTGACTTGTCTAACTTGGGGACTCCAGGACTCCGGCCTCCCTTCGGCTCACAGCTGCTGTCGAGGGCAGGGCCTTGGTCCAGCCCCTCCCTCCCAGCCCTCTGCCCTGGCAGTGCAGAGTCAGGGGCCTTGAGAGGATGCCTGCTGGCACCAGGAGGGCCCAGCACCCCCAGCATCTCCCCACCTCCTGGTCCTGCCCTACTTAGCAGAAGCTGGTCCTGGAGCTTTGGGGAGGTCACAACCCCGGAAGGCGAGTTCTGATGTCTTTTTCTCCCAAAGAGGAATGTCACTCAGATGCTGGGCCAGAGCGACAGCGCAGCTGGCCTCAGGGCTCACAGCCTATTGCCAGGTAGGACAGAGATCCAAAGCAGAATGCAGGACAGCAGGTGATGTCAAAGGTGAACTGTCCTTCTGAGCCCTGGGGAATGGAGCTGGCGGTGCAGGTGAGTCTGGGAGAGCACTCACCGTGGCCCCACCCCTGACAGGTGTCCAGGTTGGGGGGGCAGCCTGGGGCTCGGCAGTAGCCCCCGCCTACTGCACCTTCCCCTCCTCACCCCCTCAGGCAACTCCCAGGAGGCCCAGGGACGGCTGGTTCTGGGCACTCCCAGGCCACCAGGACTTTGAATTCAGCTCCTCTCAGGTCACCCACCTTCCCCAGGAAGAGTGACCTGCAATTGGCATTGATATGACAGAGGGAAGAAAAGTGTCTCACCAGAGATCCAGCCGGCCACAAACTCCTCCGCGGGCATGTCTGGCAGGGGTGGGCACAGGTGGCTCCAGCAGAGGAGACGCTGGGAAAGTGGAATTCCACCCTCCCCGGACCCTGGACTGATAATCTGCTACTAATGTTTAACCCCGGCTGAGGGCCGGGTGCCAAGACCTCAGGGGACCAGGATGGGAAGCCAACCAGCTCTAGAGATGTGCAGAGTGTGAGATCTCACGGGGCAGGGAGGATGGCCCACCGTGGCCTGAGCCCCCTGACAGCCAGCGAGGGCCTCGCGGTGTGACCAGGCCCAGCAGCCGGGCTCGGGCGCTGGGGGGGGTCCCTCCGGGGCTGCCTCAGTGGACAAGGATCTAAGGAGCCACCCCCCACCCCAGCTCAACTCCTGCTCATCCCCCAGCCCTGCAAAGCAGGCTGCTCACCCCAGCCGGGGTAGGTGGGGCCTGGCCACCAGGAGCCAGGCCCAGCCAAAAGGAGTGACTCACCAGGGCCGGAAGCCGCCTTCTCCAAGGGTTGTTTACCACGGACTCCTCAGCATGTGTCAGAAACAGCCTCCCTTGCCTCCTCCTCCCAGAGCCTCTTTCCCAGGGGAAAGCTGGGGACTTGGTGTATAAAGGGTGGTGTGTCTCTCTGCCTGGGGTGACCAGGCTATGATACCCACTTCTCTGTGGACAACAACCCAAGCCAACGGGCCAGGGACCAGAATCGCTGTCTTCCTCTCTGCTTCCTTAGACCGACTTCCCCTGCTGCCAGTTCACTAAACGAATGGTCCCTCCAGTCACCCTCTTGCTCTGTTATGAGCTGTGCCATGCTAAGTCACTTTAGTCATGTCTGACTCTTTGTGCCTCCACGGACTGTAGCCCGCCAGGCTTCTTTGTCCATGGGGTTTTCCAGGCAAGAATATTGGAGTGGGTTGCCATTTCCTCCTCCAGGGGATCTTCCCAACCCAGGGATCCAACCAGCTCTTAGTTCTCCTGCACTGGCAGGCAGGTTCAAAAGACACACCTTTTGTTTTGAAAAATGCTATTTTGTATCGTTTAAAACTGTGTTGCCACTTAAAAAATGTGTTGCCACTTGGCCATACACCAGCTACTAACACAGCATTGTGAATCAGCTATGCTGTTGTTGTTCAGTCCATAAGACCTGTCCCACTCTTTGTGACCCCATGGACTGCAGCACGCAAGGCTTCCCCGTCCTTCACCAACTCCCAGAGTTTACTCAAACCCATGTCCATCGAGTCAGTGATGCTATCCAGCCATCTCATCCTCTGTCGTCCCCTTCTTCTCCTGCCCCCAATCCCTCCCAACATCAGGGTCTTTTCCAATGAGTCAACTCTTCGCATGAGGTGAACTATACTTCGACTTAAAAATTTGTGTTGTCACTCTTTATAAATCAGATGATTGTGCATTGGTCGTGTTTTCTATGTGTCTGGTACTTTGATTTTTTCCTACTCTGTCATCTCTCTCTACCCCACAAGGGGAGACATGTGTGTGGAGTGAAAGAAGCACAGGGTTTGGCATCTTCTAAACTGAGTTCCAGGGGCTTCCCTGGTGGCTCAGAGGTTAAAGCATCTGCCTGCAATGCAGGAGACCTGGGTTCGATCCCTGGGTCTGGAAGATCCCCTGGAGAAGGAAATGGGAACCCACTCCAGTATTCTTGGCTGGAGAATCCCATGGACGGAGGAGCCTGATGAACTACATTCTACAGGGTCGCAAAAAGTCAGACACGACTGAGCGACTTCACTTCACTTCACTTCACTTCACTTCAAACTGAGTTCCAGTCTCAGGTGCTCCGGCCAGCAAGGTGATCTGGCCAGGCACATGCATTTTGAGGATCTCTTGTCTCACGTCATTTAGGAGGCTTGGGCGGTCATCAAGGGAGTTTCCAGGTGTTGGTGTTGTCAACAAGAATAATCAACAACAATCTATAATAAGAATTGAAAAGAGTTTTATTTGAGCCAAACTGAGGAATATACCCCAGAAGACAGCCTCAGATAACCCTGAGGAACAGCTCTGGAGAAACATGGTTTTCAGCACAGTTTTATGTCTGATCAGAAAAAGATTCATCTAGTCTTTGGTTTGGTTTTTTTCAGTAGTCAGGTATGGATGTGAGAGTTGGACCATAAAGAAGGCTGAGTGCTGAAGAATTGATGCTTTTGAACTGTGGTGTTGGAGAAGACTCCTGAGGGTCCTTGGACAACAGGGAGATCAAACCAGTCAATCCTAGAGGAAATCAACCCTGGATATTCATTGAAAGGACTGATACTGAGGCTGAAACTCCAATACTTTGGCCACCTGATGCAAACAACTGACTCAATGGAAAAGACCCTAATGCTGGGGAAGATTGAGGGCAAGAGGAGAAGGGGGTGACAGAGGATAAAATGGTTGGATGGCATCACTGAGAATGGACATGAGTTGGAGCAAACTCCGGGGGATAGTGAGTGACAGAGAAGCCTGGCTTCTGCTCTGCTGGACTGCTCTGCTGCACTTCATGAGGTCGCAAAGAGTCAGACAAGACTTAACAACTGAACAAGAACAAAGAACATCAAGCAAATCAGTGATTTAGTCCTTCAAAGTTTCAGAAAAACAAATCAGCACAAACACAGCAAGCCAATATGGCCTTGGTACCTGGGAAGGGTGTCTTATCATTGAAGAAGCATTTCATCTTTATTTTTAAGATAGTCATTTTTTTTGTTTTTTTTCCGGTTGCCCAGCATGTGGGATCTTAGTTCCCTGACCAGGGATCGAAACCGCGCCCCATGCAGTGGAAGCCCACAGTCTTAACCACTAGTCCCTTTTCATGGACATTCTTTACTTCTGGTCAATAATTACAGCAGATCTACTGTGTATGTTTGATAGGCCACAAATAGGCTGTTCTAATTAGCATCAAATTCAGGTTAACTCATGTATAAGCCAGAATGACTTCCCCACATCTCAATAAATGAATATTCCTTTTGTCAGTGTCCTCACATCAGGACCACATCATCCAGGGTCACGTTTCTGTCTGTTAATCTCATGTGTATTCCTATGTGGTAAGCCCGGAAAACAGCAGCAGTGGGGATGTGGTGGGGCAGACCCATGGAGGCAGGCAAGGTGCTGACCGCAAGTTTGACTGCAAACCCGGAGGAATATGGCATTAGGAGAGCTTGGGGGCACTCCGATGGAACACGTGCTTCACATCGACAAACATGAAATATTCTGTCAGATTTCTATTCTCAGGAATGTTGGGCAGTTAGGGCCTGGGGGTGGAGGTTGAGGAGAAAGGGATCTTCGCTCAAGGGCACGGAGACCCCGGGCTCAGGTGTCACTGCCCAGAGAAAGCTGTGATGGCCCTAAAGGCAGCCCCAACCCCCGGAGTTGCCTGGACACCTCCCTTTCTCTCTACCTCACCACCGTTCCATGGGGAAACGCGTTCATAGTACCTCCAAAACAGACACTGAATCCAATCCCTCGCTGGCTCCCCCACTGCTTCTGCCCTGGCCCCAAACCACCATCACCGCCACTTGGATACCTGCCCGCAGCTGGCCTCCCTGCCCCCGCTCCATCCCTCCACTTCCCCTTCCAGCCTGTCCTCCACCAGCAGCCCGATGATGCAACTCTCCCCTGCTCCACACCCTGCAATGGCTTCATCCTGCTCAGAGTCAAAACTGAAGCCTCGGGGACTTCCCTTGGTGGTCCAGTGGCTACGAATCCACCATCCAGTGCAGGGGGCCCGGGTTTGATCCCTGGTCAGGAAACCAGATACCACATGCCACAACTAAGACCCGTACAGCCAAATAAATAAATCTTTAAAAACAAAACAAAGCCTTCCAGGCACTTTCCTGGTGGTCCAGTGGTTAAGGCTCTATGCTTCCACCCCACGGGCCACTAAGATTCCCCCCATATGCCTTGCATTGCAGCAAAAAAGAGAAACCCAAAGCCTTCCTAGGCTCTAGGGCACCTCTGGCCACACTGGCTTCCTTCTCTTCTCCCAATAGCCTCCTGCCTCCATCCTTCACACCACTGCTCCCGCCCCCAGTTGGCCTCCTCTTGCTGGGCTCAGACCTAACCTACACAGTGAGTTGGCCCTGACTGGCTGGGTGAAGATTGTCGTCTGCCCCACCTGCCCAGCATTCCTGGTGCCCCTTCCCTAGCCCAACCCTCTCTTTCACTTGTCAGCTTCTGACACACTTGTCTGTCTGGGCAGGGATCACTAGCTGTTTTGTTCCCTCATGTTATCTTAAAGGCTTAGAACTATGTGTGGTACAGAGTAGGCAATGAATGAGATATGAATGAGTGGACAAGTCAGGGAAGAGCATTAGATAGCCCTGAGTCTCCAGTTCTCTCTCCCCATTTCCAAAGGGCCCCAAAGAATGTAAAGTTCCCAAACACCCCCTACCTGCCCCTCCAGATCTCCTCCAGCTCTTAGTTTCCCATCTGCCTGAGGACAAATCCTGATGGTGCTTCTCCTCTCCTGCAGCTGCCAAAGCAGAATGCTTTCCTCCCCCACCACTTTCTTGTGGGTGGACAGGTTCTAGGGAGCAGGGTTCCATCTCCGACCTCCTCCCCCTGGAACTATCCTGGGCTCCTTGGGCTGCCCTCAAAGACCTTCCCGAGCCCTGGTCCCTCACGGACAGCTGGGCTGTGATCCTAGTTTTGCAGTTTGTTCTCTCCTGAGTGATGCTGGGTGATCCCTCTGTGGGCCTTTACTGTTTGCAAAAGTCAGGGACCAGCCCAGCAGATAGCTGAGTCCAAGGCCTCTTGGCTGTGAAGGCCATAAGGCTGCCTGTCTCTTCAGAATGGGCCCCACTCTGTCCTCTAAGCCCACCACACGTCCCCAGCTCAAGGGAGACGCACAGCCACGCCCCAGGGCCTTACAGAAGGGCAGCCACACCCCTGGCTAGCTCTTCTCCAATTCTCCAGCAAGCTCCACCAGGTTAACCCTTGGCCTGGCAAAGCAGAGATCAGGTCTTGACATTCTCTAGCTCACAACCTCCAAAATGGCTTCACTGCCTGCCAACATCCGCCCTCCGTGCACCCCCCCCACATACTTCTACTCCTGGTGTTCATGCCATCCGTGACCCCCACTGGGTGCCACCCCACCTTCCCACCTGCTGTGCTGTTTGCTCAGGCCTTCCCTGCTGTCCTAACCATGCTCCTGCAGCTCTCACTACCTGGAACGCTTTTAGGAATCTCTTCCAACACCTCTCCTCACTGGACCTCACTGGGTTCGTCTCTTCACCACCACCACACATACTGCCAGACATCAGCTTTGTTATTGAACCTTCTGATCCTGTTTTCTCATATAAATGGAAATCTGATGCTCACCTCTTGGTGTCTTAGAAAGATTATAGCACTTAGAAAAGGATCTGGCATGCTTTCTATGCTCCACAAACAGCAGCTACCATTATTCTTATCAGCACTCACAGGGTCCCTGAGCTTGACATGAGGAAATACACATGAAAGGGCCTAGCACACAGTAGGTGCTCAGGAATTGAGGACCTGTTCTTCCTGCTTTTGACACTCTATGGCTCTTAAGGCAATTCTGTCACCTTATGGGGCTTTAAGGGCTTCCCCAGGTGGTGCAACTTGGGACTTCCCTAGCAGTTCAGTGGTAAAGATTCTGCCTTCTAATGCAGGGGGTGTGGATTCAGCCCCTAGTTAGGGAACCAGATCCAGCATGCCACAGGGTGCAGCTTTAACATTTTAAAAATGAACAAATAAACACAACATTGTAAATCAACTATACTTCAATTTTTAAAAAATTTTAATGCAAAAACAAAAAAACCATGCATCTTTCTTGGTGTTCTCTCTCCTCTCTCCCTCCAGTTCCCAGTGAAACCATAACATAACCTTCCCGAGGGCAGGAGCTATGTCTCACCCAGATCTCCACACCCTGCCCCAGCCCAAGCCCCACACCCAGGTACGCACTCAACACACTGAACTGTGTTCGCGCTTCACCCCAGCCAGTTTAGGGAAGACACTGAGCTATTGTGTCCCATCCCAGAGCCAGGAACCTGGAGGCAGATGCCATTTCCCACTGCTCACATCTGAGTTCCCTGAGTCCCTAGGTCCTGTTGGGAAGGAAGACATGATGTAATGGGCCAATCATGGGGCAATCTGGGTCCTGGGGGTTAGGCATAGAGCTGTTTCAAATATTGAGACTTGGACTGTGTTAGGCTGGAGCTGCCTTCCAACACACTGCAATCAGGGCAGGTGGGCCCTCTACCCTCCACGCCTCACCCCACCTCCTGACCACCCAGCCCATTGCTGTCATTTGGAACAGTCTCTGGAAGGTGATCCATGGACCTGTTTTTTTTCTGAGATCTACACCGCAGGCACACACATGCTGGCCTTGCCAGGACACGTTGGTGGCATGACCCTGGGGATAGGAGGTTTCACACCTGCCTCCTCTGAGCCCAACACCTCTACCCAGCTTGGGAAAGCCGCAAGGTGTCCCAGGATGTGTGTCTAAGATAGTGAAGGCTCATGTGACTGCTCCCTGGGATAACAAGATTCCTGACAAGTAATCAGAGGATCTTTGGAGGTCATCGAGTCCAATGTCTTCGTCTGACAGAGGGGGTAACTGAGGATCCGAGGGGAAAGAGCTTGTCTGGAATAGTCAAGACAGGTACCCAGTTCCTGACCACCGTGGGGAGCCCATCCCCACTCCCGGCCCCGAGGCACTGAGGCAGGCTGCCAGCATCACCTTTACCCAGCTCCCAGCACATTGTGGCTCCGGGACACGTCCCCACGAAGCACCTCCCCTTCACAGGTGAGGGGACTAGCCCAAAGTCACAGGCATGTGAGCGCCAGAGCTCGCGCCCCGAGCTCTATTCCCTATTTCCTTGAACCTTCGCCACATTCTATTACAGGCCAACAGACGGGGCCTGTGTGGGGGGTCATGGGTCCCCCAATCACTCTGGTAGGTGGCGGGGCAGTTTCTTCACTCGGCTACCAGGAGCCTTAGGCTAGCGGCCAGCATAAGCGTGAGCTTGCGAGGGACGGGCGCGCGAGAGCGGGAGGCAGGGCGCGTGCGCGGCGGCCCCTGGCTCCGATTGGCTCCCGCGGGCCGGAGAGGCGGGGCCGTGCGCGCCGCGCTTCCTCCGCCCGGGCTTCCGCGTAGCAGCCCCGGGAACCGGAGCGCGGGCGGGATCTTGCTTCTCGGCCGGCAGTGAGGACGGAGCGGCACCTGGGGACCCGGGTCAGGGCAGGAACCTGGACTGAGGCAGCGAGCGCTGCGTTCCTGCGAGGTGAGAGAGCGGCGACGCCCTGCACCGGCCTCCGCCCCTGATAGGGGTGTGCCGTGTCGTGCCTGGGCATCCTGGCGAGCCGAGCTTGACCCTTCTCCTGACCGCCACGGCCCCGACTCCTTCCACCAGCCCCGATCTAAAGTTGACTGAGGACTCCCCCCAACCCCTCACCCCGCTAGTCTGCACACCTGTGCCTTCAACCCTGGTGTTCACCTTCGTATATCAGCTCTGAACCCCTTCCTTCCTCAGTGACAACACCCCCATCCTTGGACCCTCAAGGAACAACTTTTTCTCTTTCCTTCTACAGATGGACGGGCCGGAAGGCAGTACCGGGCAGCCCGGCCCAGCTGATCGGTCCCATCGAAGCAGTGTGTCCTCCGTGGGAGCCCGAGGTGGGTCCCTGAACCCAGTCCCCACCCCACCTTACCTTCCTAGGGTTCCAGCCCCGAGGAAGTGACCCTGGCTCGTCATCTCTGTCATTGAAGATAACTTTATTATTAATTAACAAATAAGGTCTGTTGGGATGTGGAACAGTGACAAGTTAGTCCGAAGACCTGAGCTCTGTCACTAGGCTACTTGCAGAGTTGAGTACTCACGTGTAAATCTTCCTCACTTGTAAAACCTTAGGTAGCTGTGAAATTCACATGAAATCTCATGAATGAAGAGTGACATATTCACTTTCTGTTTGGTAAATAGTTTTTTGAAAACAGGGATCATTATTTACATTTTATAGGAAGGAAATTGGGCCCTAGAGAGGTTAAGTACAGGACACTGGAGCCTTCACTGCCCCAGATGTCCCTCTGAATTTCAGCCTCCTGGCGTGCTGCAGTCCATGGTGTCACAAAGAGTCGGACACGACTAAGCGACTGAGCTGAACTGACTGAACTGGACGTTATTTTATGATCTCTCAAGAAAGTGACTGTTAGAGCTGAATAGATTGGGGATCCAAAAAGCACCTTTATTTGTGTTAGTAATAAACTATACCTTTGTGTTTCACAGGCTTCACCTCATTTGATTCACAGAAGCTCTGGGTGGGGTAGAGGGGGATGGGTAGTGGGGGATGGGTATTGGCGCCTGTGGCATGTGACATGCTGAAGTCAGCCAGCCAGCCAGAGGCCAGGCAGTACTGGAGCCCTCAGGGCTTCTTCACCGTGCCTCTGGTTCCAGTGATGGAGATTTGAATCTGGCTGCCATTCCAAGGGTCTCCTTTGGGCTCCAGGCTCCAAACAGGCTGTCACCAGGGAACACTCAACTTCCAGGGTTGTACCTCAGCTGGCCTGTTTAAGACTTAAGTCCTTCTGAAAGGCCATCGTGTTGAGTGCTGAGGCTTGAAGAATCCTAAGGAGGCTAAGCCCTGAAACTAGCTGTACCACAGGGAATCCTCTGTCCCCACGTAGCTTGGGCCAGAGAGAGATAGTGGCTTGCTTAAGGTGTGTCACCAGCTGTCTCCCTCCTTGCTTGATTTACTAACTGCTGTAATCTCAGGATGGGTTCAATCTCTCTCTGCCTCAGTCCCACTGTGGAATGTTCTCTTTCAGGGGAAAAGCATCCCAGAGTCCTTGGGGTTGTGGGGGGAGTGTGTTGAGGGTGAAGCGGCCTGCCCCAGTTTGAAACTTTGGGGGTTTAGGGTGGGACAAGGCTGGTTCCTGGGCCAGAATTACTGGCTTTCTGGGTGGTTTGAGGGTCTCCAGTAAGTCCCAGTAGACTTTAAAAAAAATATATGTGTTTATTTCGGCTGCACCGTGTCTTAGTTGCCATGTGGTGGCTTTTTAGTTGCAGCATGTGACCTCTTAGTTGAGGTACGTGAGCTCTAGCTTCCTGACCAGGGATCGAACCCGGGGCCTCTGCATTGACAGCATGGAGCTAACAAGCACTCTTCACAGGGTCCTTCGGGGATGCTGGGGCTCTGCCTCCGAAGTGTAGCCTTGGTCACCCCAAGGAATACAGGGTCCAACCGCAGCAGGGGAGTGGAAGATGCTTAGATGGCATGCCTGTGCTAGCTGGCCTAGCTGACCTTGCCCGGCCCACATTGCAGCAGCCGACGTGCTGGTGTACCTGGCGGATGATTCGATGGTGCCCCTGGCCGTGGAGAACCTGCCCTCACTCAGCGCCCATGAGCTGCATCGGGCCATCCGCGAGGTCCTACAGCTTCCAGACATTGCCCTGGACGCCTTCGCGCTCTGGCTCGTCTCCCCTCTGCTGGGTAAGGCTTGGCACTGAGAAGCCCGGGGGGGGGGGGTGGGGGCTGGAAGGGCACTGACTGGCAGAGGAGAGGGCAGCTTCTAGAACCTCTGGCCACTATACATCAGGGAAAGATGGGACTCACATGTGTCCTGGAGCCACCCATGGCTTCCAGGACCCAGAGCCCTCGAACAATGCCTGGCTCCTCTGCCCCCGTCTCCTTTCTTGGTGCTGGTGGCAGAGGCGGGGCCGTGTTTGACTCTTACCTCAGGGCTGCTGGAGCCTGAGCATCAGGAGGAGCGGGATGGGGGACAGGGAGGGAGCCGCTCGCATTTTGCAAGTAGAATTTCACCTTACCCTCATGGCCCCAGCCTGGTCATACTGATGAGGAAATTGAGGTTTGGACCAGTAAGTGGTGGGACAGAGGTCGGAACAGAAGCCTGGGTGGTTCCCCCAGCCAGCCTCTCTGAACTGCACCCTGCTCTTTGGAGGCTGGGAGGAAGGTGGGACCTGGCCCAGGATGCAGCCACCCCAAGGGTTCGACTTTTTCTGAGGGCAGGGAAGATGAGTGGGAACCCAGCTTCTCTGCAGGGATCCTCCAGCCCTGCCCGGTTTCTGATCACCTTGTCCTGCTTTTTCAGGCTGAGATCCCAAGGCGGGGGTGGAGCAAGAGTGAGGGCAGTGGAGGCTCTTGAGCCCTCAGGCCTGGGGGATGTGCGGCGGGCTTGCAGAGAGCCCCGTGGGGCCTCCGAATAGGGCCACTCGTCTGCTGGCTTGGTCAGAAAAGGGGCCAGGGAGAGGATGCTTCACCTGGTGCCGGGGCCAGGCTTGTTCTGGGATTACATACTCTCCCTTGTAGAGAAACAGGGTCAGAAGGGTGAGCCTGGTCGCTAGGCCCCTAGGAGTGTGTGCCTCTGCCCTGGAGGGAGGATATGCCGGCTTGGTGGCGGGGGTGGGGGGGGAATGCCTGTCTCCCCACCCCCACCCACCGGTGGGAGCTTCCTGCCCAGCTGTTGCTCTCACCCACCCACTTCCTGCTGACCAGTCTCTCTCGGCCGCTTCCCACCCAGCTCAGCCGCCCCACCTTCACCCTCTGGCTATTGGGCAGGACTGCGGGCCCCTCGGCTTGTGTCTCTGGAAAACTGGGGGTGGTGGTTTAACATGGCCCCTGCCCGGCCTTCAGCTCCCTGTCCCTGCAGTTGGCCAGCTGACTTCCTCCCCCACTCCCTCCTCGTCGCATTCCGTCTGCCCCCTCTCAAGAACATGAATGGGCCTCCTGTGTGGCCAGTGGGTTATGCAGGGCACCGCCTTGGCCAGGAGGCCCCAGCACAGGATCAGCGCCCACTCTGTTCCCAGGCTGTGTTCAGGAAGGCTGAAAGGCCACTTCATCTTTGATGCGGGCTCTCAGGACTCTTGGCCCCAGTCCGCCCCCAGAGCGGGTGTGGCGGTGATCTGTGCCCCAGGGCCGTGAGGCAGGGAGGGGTACCGCCTGCTGGAGCCACCCTTCAAGCTGGCTGTTTGGGGAGGTTTGACCTTCTGAGTGCCATTGTCACTCTGTGTGGAACAGGGCTCCAGGGACAATCCGTCTCGCTGAGGGGACAGCCTCTAGGCAGAAAGGCCCCATCTGGAAGTGTAGGACCACAGTCCCGTACTGATAACAGGAGTCCCCTGAGCTGCCAGAGCTCGGGGTAAGGCTGGCTGGACCCCAGAACCCCCGGGGACATGCTTGGGTGGGGCTGGCAAGGCAGAGGCCCAGGCAGGGCCAGGAGCAGTAGAACAGCCCCCTGGGCCTCTGAGCCTATCACCAGCTTTGAGCTCTGCTTTCCAGGTCGTGCTGGGGGCATCAGGACCACCACCCCCAGCACCTTCCGTCTGTCAAAGCCTCTCAGCTACAGCCCACCCTGGGCACTGTAGGGAACAGTCAGACTGGCTGCCTGGAATCTGACCCCCTCTCACTTGCTGTTTGACTTTGGACAAACACCTTAGCCTCTCTGAGCCTCAGTTTTCGCTGTGGATGAAATGAGAGTAGGGTCATTTCAGGGCAGTTGCTGTAAAGCCCTTGAAATGGTTCGGTGAACGTTGGCCCTGAGTGCATCGTCCCTGCTGTGAGCATGGGCAGTTGCGCTGCTCACGGCTTCACGGTGGCTTTCCCTCTCCTCCCGCAGAGGTGCAGCTGAAGCCCAAGCACCAGCCCTACAAGCTGGGCCGCCAGTGGCAGGAGCTGCTGCTGCGATTCACTGACGCCCCAGATGACGACGTGGCCATGGGTCAGTGCTGCTGCCTGTGTGTCCCTAACTCAGGGACCCACCTGGGTCTGGGGTGTGACCTCCCGGCCCAGCCAGGCCTCCCCTGGCAGGTGGAGCTGCCCTCGCTGAGGCCAGGGCCAGCATCTCCCCCAGGGGAGGGCAGCTCAGGATAGGGTGGGCTGGGGGGAACAGTGAGCACCTTGAGCTAAGCCACACACCCCCATCTCTGGACAGCTCTGGGGTTTTCTGAGCGGTGGTGGAGAAGGCTTGGGGACTGAGACTGGGTCAGTTAGCGGGGAAGACAGGGTGGCTGTGCGGGGTGGCCAGTAACCCCCTCCTCTCTCCCCAGATGAGCCTTCCCTACAGTTCCGGAGAAACGTGTTTTTCCCCAAATGGCGGGAGCTCCAGGTGAGGCAGGGAGCCCTAGGCGGTGCCACATCCCAGGGTGTCCAGCCTCCCCTTGTCCCTTGATCCTGGGACATGGGTGTCCCTCCGGACTGAGCCACCCCTCCCTGCTGCTCCGGCTTGCAGATCCACGACAAGGAGGTCCTGCGGCTGCTCTATGAGGAGGCCAAGGGCAACGTGCTGGCCGCCCGGTACCCCTGCGACGTGGAGGACTGCGAGGCCCTGGGCGCCCTGGTATGCCGCGTGCAGCTCGGGCCCTACCAGCCTGGCCAGCCCGCCGTCTGCGCCCTGAGGTGAGGGCCCATGGAGGGGACCCCCTGGTCTCAGAATCCTGGTTGCAAGTGGTCTTGCCAGGTCCTGGAGTCAGGAGGCCCTGATGCTGTGTGACCTTGATTGAGTCACCCCACCGATTGTCTGATTTAGTCCTGAACTCCAGAGACAGGCCCCATTTCCTGACACTCCAGCATGCTGGCTCCATGCTTCCCAGCTGTCTCTCAAGAAACCGTGCTCTTTGATGGGCAGGGCCTGGGGTTGTGACAATTGAGTCTACCTGGAAAGTAGACCAGGCCTGTCTCTGACCTCCGTGGACGAATCCTGAAGTTTACCAATAATTGCAGTGAGGATGTACTTGGAACACAGCCTGTCCTAGACTCAGGGTTCCCCCCGACACCAGCCCTTCGGTGTATAGCTGTGTTGCAGAGGGAAGGATGTGTCCAGACTGGGCCCTGTGCCTGGTGACTAATAGCTGGGGCCTAGCAGGGCCACCCATGCTCAGCAGAGCCTGAACGCTTCCAGCTGAGCTGGCTTGAGGCTGGCATCCATAGAAATCCCGGCTTTTGTGATGGGCATGTCTGGGCCTATTGCAGGTCACAGCAAACCCAGCTCAGACTGTTTGGACTTGAGGGACTTTGTCAGGAAATGGATGGGTCCATGGTGACTGAGGGCTTCCCAGGTGGCTCAGTGGGTAAAGAATCCACCTGCAATGCAGGAGATGAATGAGACCTGGGTTCGATCCCTGGGTCAGGAAGATCCCCTGGAGAAGGAAATGGCAACCTACTCCACTATTCTTGCCTGGAGACTCCCGTGGTCAGAAGAGCCTGGCGGGTTACAGTCCATGGGGTTGTAAAGAGGCGAACATGACTGAGTGACTGAGATAGCAGAGGGTGACTGAGGTTCAGGGGCTCTGATTGGGTCTTCCCCGCCCACCAGACCCGGTCCTCGCTCTCCTTGCCCAGCCCTGTGTCCTCTGGGCCAGCTTGCACTCAGGCAAGCTCTTGCCACATAGCGGCCAGGCAGCCACAGTAGTTGCACGTTGGCAAGAAGAGACCTCATTCCTCACGTGACCAGAGTCCTGAGACTCATCTGATGATGACGGCTGGGCCCAGGTCCACCCAAAGGAGACAGAGTGGCCAGGGCACTGATTGGCTGAGGTCCAGATCCTCCCTTGGACCCGCCATGAGCCCGCACAGACGCCACAGACTGAGGGTAGGAGGCTGGCTTTCCAAACAACAAGGGGGAGCTGTGGCTGGAAGCAGGGATGTGGGGGGACAGATGATGAAAATGGTCCTGAGAAGTTGGGAGACGGCCCCCTGGACGCCCCTCCTGCTGCTCTGCAGCCAGGCCTCTCCCCGCATCACGTTCCTTTGTGTCGGGGCCGCAGGGCCAGCCACCCCTCCCCGTGGCCTGGAGTCTTGCTCCTCCAGAAGCCTCCTCCCCTCTTCAGTGAAAAAGACGACCTCAACTGTGTGTGTTCGGCGCCTGCCATATGCCGAGCACACGTCAGCACCCATCTGTATCAGTAGGGATCCCTGTCATTGGAACGTGGAGAAATGGGCTTGGAGAGGTGCTCATACCCAGGGCCCCAGCTGCGGTCCACCGGCAGGGCCGGCGCCCAGCCACAGTTAGGGCTGTCTGAGGGGGAGACAAGGCGCCGTCACACCAGGACTCTGAGTCTGTGTGATTGAAAATGCCCTTTCCTTCATGAGCCTGTGCTGATGGTGATTTTTTTTAACATCTCTATTTAGCAGAACAAAACATCAATGGCTCTAGGTCATTTACACTATCTTTTGATTGTAAAATTGCTGGCTTAGGAATCCAGGCCCTCCAGACTCGGTGACACAGACTTGGCCCCAAGGCCCTCTGGTCACGGTCTGGTTCTGGGATGGGCCTGGTTTCAGCTCTCATCTTGTCTCCTGGCTTTGCCTTCAGGAGTCTCACCAACCAGGCATGCTGCAGGGATGGGGGCAGTGGGCTTTCTGGGGGCTCATGTCCAGGCACCCCCCCATGCTCCCCGCAGCCCAGGACTGCACCTTCTTCCCAGCCTGCAGGCACGGAGCCATCCTCAGCCCAGCACCATCTCCCTTCCTCTACAGGGAGAAGCTGGACTCCTTCCTCCCTGCCCACCTCTGCAAGCGGGGCCACGGGCTCTTTGCTGCCCTCCGGGGCCGTGGGGCCAAGGCCGGGATGGGCGAGCAGGGCCTGCTGAATGCCTACCGCCGGGTGCAGGAGGGAGCCAACAGCGACAGCGAGTGTGAGGCCTCCCTGAGCCCCCACTACCGCGCCTACCTCCTCAAGTGCCACGAGCTGCCCTTCTACGGGTGAGCGGCTCCCAAGTGTGGCCACAGCCCCGGGCGCTGTGTGCCTCCCCGGCCCGTGAACCCATCTGCAATCCCACTGAGCTCTGTCCTTGAGGTGCGTCTAGATGCCAGCGCCTCAGGCTCCACGGGTCCCGGGCTGGACATTCTTCCTCCCACTCTCCTGTCACGAGCTCGGACACCGGGCAGGTCCTTTCCTCCCTCCTGCTACAGTCATGTGGCCCCTGGACCTGCCACCTCCCCTTCCGCCAGCTCTCGTTCACACAGGCACTTCTAGCCCTTAGCTCTTGGGTACCTACTGGGTGCCAGCACTCTCGAGGTGCTATAGACCCCTTGGTGAGCAGAAGAGACCACCGCTCCTGCCTGTGAACAGGCCGTTCTAGGGGCAAGAGGGACAACAGTAGAAGCAGAGAACAGACTGTGGGCAGGCAGGATGAGCCATGAGGACAGTGGCCACACTCCAGAGAGTGCCAAGGCTCAGGCCGGGTGGTGGTGCCGCAGGAGGGGAGATTCCAGAGGTGGTCGGGTTCCAGAGGTGTTGAGGGCACTGGAGTGGACGGAGCTCGCTAGGTGTGCAGGAGAAGAGGTGAAGGGGAGCAGGCCGAGGGGACTCCAGGTTTCTGCCCGAGCAGCGGAGGGGTGGTGACACCAACTGAGACAGGATGGTGTGGGCGGGAAGGGGTACAGGTCAAGGCAGACTGGGGGCTTGCCTTTGGATGTGTTGATTTTGAGATGCTTGCCAGACCTTCAAGTGGCACTTCCAGGCAAGCCCTTGGGTCTCTGGGAAGAGAGTCAGGTGGTGGATGAGTCATCAGAATGCGGGTGCTGCCTGAAACCAGGAGCCCCAAGAGATGGCCACAGAAGTGAGCTTGGACCAGGCAGAGGACGCCAGCCAGCCCAGCAGGAGGGTCTCTGCCAGCCCGGTGAAGAGAAGAGTGAGGAGGAAGAGTGACCAAGCTTCAGGTGCTGCTCCTGCAAGGTCGAGTTCAACGTGGCCCCTTGGGGCCAATTGTTGACCTTGGCTCCCGCATCGTGGAGGTGGCAGCGGGTGGAGGAGCATGAGAAAAAGAATCGGTGACAGTACGTGGAACCACCCCTCTCGGGAGCCTCCCTGTGAGATGGAACCCAGGGGTGGAGCCGCTGTGGGGGCGGGCAGAGCAGATCTACCGTGATGAGTGAGAGGCACGTGTGCGGACAGGGAGGACCCGATCGAGTGAGGAGCTGAGGTGAGGGCGGGCAAGTGGCCGCTCTTCCGGTCCTCAGTGGGGTCAGGAGTCTGCCCAGAAGGGGAGCCCTCCCCGAGCTCAGAACTGAAGTTGGAGCGGGCTTGTCTCCAGTCCCCACCTGGGGCTGCAGGATTTAACTATGGCTCTGGCTTTGCCAGAGACCCAGGTTCGATCCCTGGCTTGGAAAGATCCCCTGGAGAAGGGCATGGCAACCCACTCCAGTATTCTTGCCTGGAGAAGCCCATGGACAGAGGAGCCTGGCGGGCTACAGTCCACAGGGTCTCAATGAGTTGGACACGACTGAAGTGACTAACACCTTTGCTTTCACCAGCTTAGCCAGGGGTGAGGGCCCAGGGCACAAGAGTGACAGGCCATGGCGGGGCAGGAGGAAGAGGGTGGCAGCTCAGTGCCTACGTGTCTCAAGGCCCCTGGTCCCTTGCCCTTTCTCAGTGTCAAGTCCTGAAGTGGCTTCCCTGCCTGAGCAGCCCGTGGGGGGTGGTAGGCAGCCTCAGCCCCCAGGTTCTCCCAGCCTCCAGCAGCCTCAGCCCCCAGCCTCTGAGCTCTCGGGCTCCTGGCTGTTCCTGGAACATCACTCACTCTGTCTCACACCTGTGTTCATGCTCTGCCTTCTGCCTATGGGGCCCAGCTCGCTCTGTACCACCCAGTTCCCGTCCTGTCCTGTCTATTCCAGCCCTCCTGTCCTGCCTGATCAGAGGCCACCACCTCCACAAAGCCTCCCTCTGGCCCACCCGCTCCGTTTCTCCCTCCTTGGGATGGGTTTCAACTTAACCTTTAGTCACCCAAACAGCGTAAGCTTCTCAGGTGCCTGGGACAGGGCCTGGTCAGTGCACTTACTGGTGGGTGAACCCTGACCTTGGCCTTGTTCTTGGTGCTGGAGGGGACAGACTAACCCCAGTTTCCCTCCCCAGGTGTGCCTTCTTCCACGGCGAGATTGACAAGCCAGCCCAGGGCTTTCTGCACCGGGGTGGACGCAAGCCAGTGTCTGTGGCCATCAGCCTGGATGGCGTGCATGTCATCGACTGCAGGGAGAAGGTAGGTCCTGCTCCTTCAGGGGGGACCTGAAACGGGGGCCTCAGTGGAGAGGAGGGGAGTGGGGTCCTTACCCAGGCCTTCCTGGTTCCCTTGGGCCTGTGGTTGGCCTTGGGGCAGGGTGGGCAGCCTCTCTGGCCTCCCTCCCTTGGATGTCTCTGGGTCTTCCACTGTCGTTCTGGGGGCTTCGCTGAGCCTACTGTGGGTCAGCTTTCCTGTCCAGCCTGCAGGGGAAGGGGGTGACTAGAGGAAGGGGCTGCAGCTAGTGGAGAGCATCTGGCAGGGCCTGGCTGCTCTACCCGACCACTGGCTAGAGACTGGTGGTTTTCTGGAAAAACCCCATGACTGGGAGCCCTCTTGGATGTTGGAGTCCTGCTCCACTTCCTGCTTTTGGCGCTAGCTGTCTCCGCTGGTTGTCTCAGCCTGTGTAGAAGTGATGTTGGCAGTCCGCCCCAGGGGCTTCTATGCACCTGGGCAGGAGTCCCTCCCATGCTAGCAGACAAGTTTCGGGGAGACTTCCGGTGGTCCGCAGAGAGGGACCCCAGCCCTTCCTGGGCACCTGCTCCCTGACATGCCGGGCCCAGCTGCACCTCCTGCCAAGATGCCACCCAGCTGATCTCTGGGGGAGGAGGGTCTCCCCTCCCCACTGTCCCAGCTCTCAGGGGCTTGACCTGCTGGTGAGAAGGGCTGTGGGTTAGGGGTCTCAGTTCCTGGGCCACAGCCCTCCTTGAGGGTCTGATGGAAGCAGGGACTCTTCTCTTCAGAGAAACTCACACCTAAGTTTCGGCTCAGCCTTGGAGGTAAATATAGCCTGGCCAGGTGTCTGCTCTTGGTGCCGCCCTTGGGGATGGGGCAGGGCAGCGGGCCTCTGCCCAGAGGAGTCCAAGCTCTGTCTTCCGCTGGCCAGCACGTCCTGCTGGGCCTGCGCTTCCAGGAGCTGTCCTGGGACCACACCTCCCCCGAGGAGGAGGAGCCTGTGCTATGGCTGGAGTTCGACGGGGACAGCGAGGGCACGCCAGTCAACAAGCTTCTCAAGGTCTACTCCAAGCAGGTAGGGGCGGGCTGCCCACGCCCCGGCGGGGACCCAGGGGCCCCCGGCTGTCGGAGGGCTCGGGCTGCCTAGCAAAGAGGTGCGAGGGCTGCTGAGGGCCTGGACACCAGGGAGCTGACTCCTGCTGACCGAGAGCCACCCAAGAGGGTTCGGAAGGCCAGTCAGGTGGTGGGGCAGCTGCGGCGGTGGTTGGTGGAGGGCTGCCCAGGGCTGTGTGACAAGCGTGCCTTTGTTTCACTCTTGTGCACTCAGCACCCTGTCTTCCCACCCCAGCCTCCACCCCTGTCCCTTCTCCTCCCACCCTGGTCATGGCCGAGGGCCCTTCCAGAGCTAAGTGCCTTGGTGCTCCCCTCCCGGAGCAGAGATGCGCTCCAGGGACTCCCCATCTGTGAAAGCAAACAGCCCCTCCTGCCTCCGCCTCGAGCCTCTAAACCCTCCTGGCCACTCTGCTCCCTCTGCCCCTGCCTTGTCACTGGCCTAGACTTTTTTTTTTTTTTTTTGGTCATACTGGAGCCTGTGGAATTCTAGTTCCCTGACCAGGGATCAGACTTGGGCCCTGAGTGGTGAAAGCACAGTCCCAACCACTGGAACACCACGGAATTACCCAGGTCTCTCTTTTTTCATCTAAATGTTCTGTTTTATTTCTTTAGCACAGTTTTTTGTTTTTTAAATCTCAAACATCCTTTTCTTTTAAAAAAATACCTGTTTATTTGGCTCCATTGGGTCTTAGTGGCAGCACGTGTGATCTTTGTTGCGTCATGAGGGATCTTTCGTCACAGCGCACGAATTCTCTAGTTGTGGCACGTGGGCTCTGGAACACACAGCATCTGTAGTTGCAGTGCACAGGCTTAGTTCCTCCGTAGCATGTGGAATCTTAGTTCCTGACCAGGGATCGAACCTGTGTCCCCTGCATTGCAAGACAGATTCTTAACCACTGGACCACCAGGGAAGTCTCCATGTCATTGAATTACAGTATACATACAGAAAAGTTCCCAACTCCTCAGTGTATATAGCCCAACAAATTTCCCAAAAGAAACCCATGTAACAGACTTCCCTGGTGGTACAATGGGTAGGAATCTGCCTGCCAGGGCAGGGGACACAGGTTCAGTCCCTGGTCCAGGAAGATTCCACAAGCTGAGGAGCATCTAAAAGCCCGTGTGCCACAACTGCTGAGCCCACACTCCGCAACTAGAGAAGCCGCCGCGATGAGAAGCCGGTGCCTGGAGCGTAGCTCCCGTTCACCGTAACTAGGAAAGTCCGAGCAGCAGCGAAGACCCAGTGCAGCCAAAAATAAATAAATTATATACTTAAAAAAGAAACCCATGTAACATCTTTCAGATTAAGAAAAACCCCTCCTCGATCCCCCTCCCAGCCATGCCCCCCACCAAGGGACCCCTGCATCCTGACTGGTGTCACCCCAGAGTCGTTGTGCCTGGCTTCAAACTTTATGGCAGAGGGTCCCCACGGTGCCTTCTGTTCTGCCCAGTCTCGCGCTCAGCCCTGTACCTGGGAGCTCCATCCCACTGTAGGTGCCAGTGCCGTGGTCTCCCACTTGCACTAGGTGTTCCCGTGTGTGTTTGCCCCTCTTGACTTTCCCGTCCCATTGCTGACGGGCCCTTGGGTGTCCAGTTCGGGCCTGTGGCAGAAGATGCTGCGTGTGTCCTCTGTGCACACGCCCAGCTTCACGCCCCGGAGCCGACTGGCCGTGTGCTGGCGGCTCCAAGAGTTAGTATCGTTATTTTGTCCCTTCAGCCACTCTGCTGGTTGAGGAGAGATATCTCCTTATGCTTCTTTTCTTTACTTTTTATTCAACTTTATTGAGATTAATATAATTTACAATAAAATGCACCTGTTTTGAGAGGTGAGTTTTAACATGTTCACATAACCACCGCCACCACAGGCAAGCTACAGAGCTGCTTATTTGCTGTCCACGTATCTTCTTAGAAGTGAAACGTCTCGTCACATCTTTTGCCCATTTTTTATTGGCATTATTTCCATCACCCCCAAATCTCCATGTGATTTTAGTTGGCATCCCTCCCCACCCCAACACACACACAATGAGGTTGAGCACCTCTTACATATATATCCACCATCTAGATGTCCTGTTTGCTGAAGTCTGCCAGTTTTTCTTTGGGGTTTTCTCTCTCTCTTTTTTAAATTGTTTTATACGTATCTCTTCAGATGATGAGATATGTATGTATGATTTCAGACTCATCTCTTCACTTGCTATCTGATACCTCCTCTTGGCTATACCTAGAGTTTTGCTTTCTCCAGAATGTCATATAAACACACTTATCATATTTACCCAGGAGAAAGAGGCATATGTCTACACACAGATTTACACTAAGATGTCATTACAGTTTTGTGTATCATAACCAAAGAACTGAAAACCACACAAATGTCTGTCAACTGGTAGATAGATAAACAAATAGCAATCCAACCCTATAGTATACATACTCTATGCAGCCTTTTGAGCCTGGCCGCTTTCACTAAGATGCACGCCCCTGAGATGATCCGCATTTCATGGTGTACTGGTCTTTTCCTTTTGACTGTTGAATAGTGTTCCATTGGGTGGATATACTACAGGTTAGCTCTTTACCCACTGAAGGATATTTCCAGTTTGGGACTTTTGTGAATAAAGCTGCTCTAGACATTTGTGTACAGGCTGTTGGGTGGGCGTATGCCTTCAGTTCTCTTGTGTAAATACCTAAGAGTGGGATTACTGGATTGTATCATAAACATAGGATCAGCCTTACTGGAAACTACCAAACTGTTTTCCAAAGTGACTGTGCCATCCTACAGTCCCTCCACCCATGTCCGAGGGTCCAGGTGCTCTGCATCCTGCTCAGCACCTGGTGTTGTCAGTGTTTGCTTGTTTGCCATTATAATGACTGTACGGTAGTGGCAGGTCAGAGTGGTCGTCGTTTGCATTTTCATTATGACTTAGGATGTTGATTATCCTTCTGTGTGTTTATTTGTTATCTGTAGGTCTTTGATGGAATGTCTGTTCAAATCATTTGTCCACTTGGTTGAAATCAGGAAAATGTAAAATAATTTTATTAATGTGTTTTATTTTTTACTGTGCTGGGTATTTATTGCTTTTTGTGCAGGCTTTCTCTAGATGCAGCAAGCGGGGGCTACTCTTCATGCGGTGCTCTGGCTTCTCTTGTTGCAGAGCAACAAGGGCTCTAGGCACTAAGGGCTGCAGTGGTTGCGGCACATACACTCCGTCGTTGCAGTGCACGGGCTTCGTTGCTCTGCAGCATGTGGAATCTTTCCGGACCAGGGATTGAACTTGTGTCCCCTGCATTGGCAGGCGGATTCTGATCCCTCGTGTCACCAGGGAAATCCCTAAATTGGCTTGTCTTCTTAGTGAGCTATAGGAGTTCATTATATGTTCTGGATACCAGTCCCTTATCAGATAAATATTTTACAAATGTTTTGTCTAATAACTTGACAAAGTCTATAACTTTGTCTACAACTTTTTATTTTCTTAAAAATGTCTTTTGAAGAGATGTTTTTGAATCTTCTAGTCCATTTATTTTAAATGACATTTAAAAAATTATTTATTTCCCTTTGGCTTTTCTGGTGACTCGGACAGTAAAGAATCTGCCTGCAATGCAGGAGACCTGGGTTTGATCCCTGGGTCGGGAAGATCCCCAGACGAAGGGAATGGCTACCCATTGCAGTATTCTTGCCTGGAGAATCCCATAGACAGAGGAGCCTGACTGGCTACTGCCCATGGGGTTGCAAAGAGTCGAACACAGCTGAGTGGCCTTCACTTTGTACTGGGTCTTCCTTGCTGCACAGGCTTTTCTCTAGTTGTGGCAAGCGGTGGCTGCTTCAAAGTTTCGGCATAGAGCTTCTCATTGCGGTAGCTTCTCTTGTTGTGGAGCACAGGCTCTAAGACGCGCAGGCTTCAGTAGTTGTGGCACGTGGCCTCTAGACACAGGCTCAGTAGTTGTGGCACACCAGCTTAGTTGCTCCTTGGCATGTGAGATCTTCCAGGATCAGGGATCGAACCCATGTCTCCTGCATTGGCAGGGGTATTCTTTACCACTCAACCACCAGGGAAGCCCCCGGTCCATTTATTTTATATCTCCATTTATTTGTCTTTGATTTCTTTCACTAACATTCTGTGGTTTTCAGCATACATATCTTATATACCTTTTATTGGATTTATCCCCCTCCCCTTTTTTTTTGGTGCTACCAGAGATGGTACTGTTTTTTAGTTTCAATTTCCAGTTGTTGGCTGTGGCATATAGAAACACAGTTGATTTTGTTTTCCTCATATCCTGTAACCCTGTGAAACTCACTCACTCGTTGAAAGCAGGTTTTTTGAGGCTCCTTTGGGATTGTCTCTGGACTGTTAGACGTTGTCTGTGAAGGGGGCAGTTGTGTTCTAACTTTGCTGGCCGCGCGCCTCTCCCTGGTCTTGCTAGGCAGCACTGGTCTCATCTGGTGAGTCGGGGTGAGCAGACATCCTGGGCCTGAGGGGAAAGCCTCCAGCCTTGCTCTAAGTGAGCGTGGTGTTCTATATTCGCCCTTCATCAGGTTAAGGAAGTTCTCTTCCATTTCTAGCTTGCTGAGTCTTATCCTGAATGCATATTTCATTTTGTTGGAGGCGGCTGAGGTGTAATGGCAGCCTCCCCCAGCCTCAGGAGCATCGGGTGGCGTTGGAGGATCTCAGACGGCGGCCCTGTTGCGCGCTCAGCTCCGTGCAGCTCCCTCAGGGAGGAGATGCCCGTGTGGGGCCCGGACCTCCCGTGCAGTTTCCTGCCCTGCTTGCCCTCGTCAGGGTGGCTTGTGTTGCTCTGGAGCAGCATCGGGTCGCCCCATCGGGTGGGCAGTCACCGACCGCCCCCTCGGCCTCTGACCCTGCTCCCCAGGGGGCTCTCATCTTGGGGTCCAAAGCCAGCCTGCGTCTACCCCAGTCCTTGCTGTGTCCCCCTCCCTGAACACACCCTGCCTAGGCAACGCCACCTGCTGGCAACTTTCTGTCTGTGGATCTGCCAGCCCTGGCCGTCCCCGCCCTAAGGTGCCCAGACCCTGCCCGCTAACATCTGGTCACGTCACCTTTTGTGACAACGTGTGTAATGTTTCAAGCCTGTTGAGAAGGCTTGAGGAATGTGTTCAGGGGAACCGCCTACCCCACCCAGCTGACCTCACGACTCAGCAAGCCAGGCTCCCTTATCCTTCACTATCTCCTGGAGTTTGCTGAGATTCATGTCCACTGAGTTGGTGATGCTATCTAAACACCCCATCTGCTACCACCCCCTTCTCATTTGGCCGTCAATCTTCCCCAGCATCAGGGTCTTTTCCAACAAGTCAGTTCTTCGCACCAGGTGGCCAGTGTATTGGAGCTTCAGCATCAGTCCTTCCAATGAATATTCAAGATTGATTTCCTTTAGGATAGACTTGTTTGATCTCCTTGCAGTCCAAGGGACTCTCAAGAGTCTTTTCCAACACCACAGTTCGAAAGCATCAATTTTTTATGGTCCTTCTTTATGATCCGACTCTCACATCCATACATGACTACTGGGAAAACCTTTGCTTTGACTATACAGACTTTTGTCAGTAAAGTGATGTCTCTGCTTTTTAATACACTGTCTGGGTTTGTCATAGCTTTCCTTCCAAGGAGGAAGCATCTTAATTTCATGGCTGCTATCACCATCTGCAATAATTTTGGAGCCCAAGAAAATAAAATCTGTCACTGCTTCCACTTTTTCCCCATCTGTTTGCCATGATGTGATGGGACCGGATGCCATGATCTTATTTTTTTAATGATGAGTTTCAAGCCAGCTTTTTCACTCTCCTTTCTTTTTTTGGGAAGATCCCCTGGAGGAGGAAATGGCAACCCACTCCAGTAATCTTGCCTGAGAAATCCCATGAACAGAGGAGCCTGGAGGGCTACAGTCCATGGGGTCACAAGAGTCAGACACAACTACACAATTAAACAACAACAATCTGACCCCTGAAGTCAACCCAAATGGGGTGCCTCCCCTGGCCCGCAGAACAGACTCCCCTTCTTTTCTTGTGTAGAAGGTATTTGTTTCCTCATCGGCCTCCCCCACCAGTGGGTAGGGCATGTGGGTCTGGATCCTCTCCCTCTGGAACAGGTAATAGAGAGCCCCCCAGGCCTCACGCCGGCCCCCTCTCCTCCCCAGGCCGAGCTGATGAGCAGCCTCATCGAGTACTGCATCGAGCTGAGCCAGGCTGCGGAGCCCGCCGCCTCCCACGAGGCCGGCCCCACCTCAGCCTCTGGCTCCTTACCACCCCCTCACCAGCGCCCCCAGCTGCGGAGGCAGGGCAGTGTGGTGTGCAGCCGCATCCAGCATCTCTCCACCATCGACTACGTGGAGGAGGGTGAGTAACCACCTCGTGCTGTGCACACACACCTACATATGTGCACATGCACACCACGGGGAGCTCCAGAGGTGGGGAGCAGTTCCAGATGCAAAGAGTTAGCCTCCAGCCAGCAGGACCTGGCGGGGGGCAAGGGCGGGGTGCAAGCATCCCATCATTTGATGGAGAGTTGGAGGCCTCCCTCTGGGGCCCCCGGCAGTAAGAGCCCCTCACTGCTGTGTCCACAGGCATATCCAGACGTGAAAAACTAGAAACTACTAGTGTCTGTTACTAAAGGTGTGGGTGTGGGAAGAATGGATACACACCCTGTGAAATCAGTGCAGCTGGTAAAGATGGCATAGGTGCCCTAATGCACTCTCTCCCTATTGGCTCAGTGGTAAAAAATCTGCCTGCGATGCAGGAGACACAGTTTTGATCCCTGGGTCGGGAAGATCCCCTATAGAAGAGAATGACAACCCACTTCAGTATTCTTGCCTGGAGAATCCCGTGGACAGAGGAAGCTGGCAGGCTACCATCCATAGGGTCGCAAAGAGTCAGACATGACTGAGCGACTAACACACACAACACACGTGATCTGCAGTTGATTGAACTGGTGGATGAGACCACAGTTCTGTGAAGGGCCAGCTAGAAGTTATACCAGATTTTTGACTGCACAGAGGGTTAGCATCTCAACCTCTTGTTGTCTAAGGGCCAGATGTATTTGTAGTTCATCAGCTACTATAAACAGCATACCTTACCTGGTAGCCAAATCCTTACCTGGAATCTATAACTGTTTCCGCAGGATAGATTACTAGAAATGGGGTTGCCCGGTCAAAGTGTGCACCCACTGTGCCCACCCCAGGAGAGAAGGAGGCACCTGCCTCTCCATCCTCACCCACCACAGGTGTTATCTTTCTGAGGGCAGTGAGCTCGTCAGAGTTGGTGTTCGGATGCTGGTGAGGTCGTTTTTACATGATTGATCACATACAGTTTCTTCATGCATTACCATTTATTTCTGTTGCCTATTTTTCTTCTGTCACTTGCTTTAACTGAAGTCCTTAGTGTTAACCTTACCTAACATCCTTTTTCAGATGCAGGGTCCCATCCAGAATACTACACTTCATGTGGTTGTCATGTCTCCTTAGGCTCCTCTTGGCTGTGACAAGTTTCTCAGACCTTCCTGGTTTTTGATGACCTTAAAGTCTTGAGGAGTACTGGTCAGGCATATTGTAGGATGCCCCTTTACTGGAATCTCTCTTCTATTTTTCTCGTTATTAGACAAGAGTTAAGGGTTTGGGGGAGGAAGATCACAGAAGTAATGTGCCATTTTTACCACATCATACCAAAGGTGCACTATCAACATGATTTTGACTTTTGATGTTGACCTTGATCACCTGGCTTGAAATTTTTAACTTTTAAGAAGTCTTTTTAGGGACTTTCCTGGCAGTCCACTGATTAGGATTCCAGGCTTCTACTGCCAGGTTCAGTCCCAGGTTGGGGAACTAAAATTCCACAAGCGCCACCCTCTCCCTCCCCCCCCAGAAAAAGTCTGTTTAATCTCATCGAGGATCATTTTCAGGCAGTGGTATGTATTATAGGTATTTTGTGACTTTGCTCTGTTCTTTCTTCTTTTTTGTAATTTAATTATATGTGTGTTCAGTCATGTCTGACTCTTTGCGACCCCATGGACTATACCCCGCCAGGCTCCTCTGACCGTGGAATCTTCCAGGCAAGAATACTGGAGTGGGCTGCCCTTTCCTACTCCAGAATTGAATTACAGTTGACATACTATATATTCGTATATATAGTGATTTTGACATAGTAATCCAATAGTTTTATATGTTACAAAGTGATCCTCGTAAGTCTGGTTATCATCTGTCGCCATACAGAGTTATTATAGTATTACGGACCATGTTCCTTATGCTATCTATGACATCCCTGTGAGTTCTTTATTAGCTGGACGTTTGTACCCCTCTCCAGTCTCTTTTCGAACAGGTTTGGACACCACCGCAGGCCCAGCATCAAATGGAAACCCTGGTGACCTGATTTAGGAGACTGACCCCCTGCCCCTGATCCTCTCACTATGGGAGGGTTGGGGGTGGGGCTGAGGCTCATGAAGCTGGTGGGAGTGAAGAGGGGAGCTCAGCCTGAACAGGCTCCAGAAGGGGCTCCCCTGGGGCCAGGCCCTTCCCTGGGGGGTCCTCCTCAGTGCATCCTTCTTGTTCCCCCAACAGGCGAGACGATCAAGCGGGTGAAACCGAAACGCAGCACATCCTTCTTCAGCCGGCAGCTCTCCTTGGGCCAGGGGAGCTACACTGTGGTGCAGCCCGCCGACAGCCTGGAGCAGGGCTGAGGGCCGCCGTGCAGGCAGGAGGGCATGGGGGCGTCGTGCTGCCTGAAGCCGAATGCCGGGCCGGGGCGGGGGTGGGGGGGCGGCCTCTGCGTGTCGACAAGTCACTTCTGGGCCGGGCTGGGGTGTGCAGAGCTGACTGGGGGCTGCCGCGGGCTCCCTCTCGCAGCCTGCCTGCCGTCCCCTGGACTCCGGGCTCCGCTGCTGTCTCTGAACCAGTCTGACCAGGCCCTGGCCACCCCCTCCCACCCAGGGGCTCGCCTTTGTGCCCCTCTCAAGACAGAGTATCCCTCGCTCTGAAGTCCCTCTGGTGGCAGGTGGCTGAGCAGTAGGGCTCAGGACACTGCAGAGGAGAGTGTGTGTCTTTGGTTTTTCCCCTGGACGTTGGGGACCACATCCCCACACTCCAGCACGTGGCCAGGCTGGGACACGACCCTGCCGGAAGAGGGTAGGGGGGCCTCCACAGACAGTGAAGCCCCCACAGGGCCCTCTCCAGCTGGATGGAACTGGAGGGTCCCCTGTGCCCCTCCCTCTGGTCTTCCTGTGAGCAGGAGACCCTGACCAGAAGGAAAGTCTGCTTGCTGATCTTTGGTGGTGTCACTGTGCTGGGAGGTGGCCCACGGGCTCACATTCCACACCCGGAGGAGCTCCCAAACCCCCTGGGGGCTTCCAGTTTCAGTTTTGATCTTTTTTATGATCTGCTTTGGTTCCATGAAGCCTGTGAACTCAGGCGACTCACGAGGGTGCCCCCGCCATCTCGGAGCTGCTGGCGCTCCTTCCAGGATGGTGCTGTGGTTTCATCCAGCCCCAGGCTCATGCTCGGGAAGTCCCTGGCCAGGAGGGGTCTCTTCTTCCTGGGGGACTTTGTAGGGAGGTGGATGTGGCCTGGGTGGAGCTCTTCCCATGGCCTCCTGCCTCCTCCCAGAAGAGCTGGCTTCTCAGCCTTAGGCTCCTTCTGGGTGGTCACCCCACCACCACCACCATCAGGGGCGCTTCCGGGGACTTTCCACAGGAAGGAGGCAGATACAGCCCGACACAGGGTTTTCTTTTTCTTCCCTTCCCGGTGGAGAATGTGGGGAAGCGAATGTGAACCTCTTGTCTCCGGATGTCAGAGCCCACTCACCTCCCTTTGTTGGCTCTTGAACACTCCAGATGTTTCCAGGGGGGCTTGCCCTCCAGCAGTAGGGACTTTGTTATCTGTCATAATGAATAGGTGTCTCCCAGCTAGAGGACATCTCATCTCTCCTGGAGACCTCACTGGCTCCCATCTCCTCTGGCTCCTAGCCCTCTGGTTATCTGCTCCCACTCACTGTTTTGATGCCAAGTGAATTCTTATCTGATAGATTGAGGGGCCTGAGGGATGTGATGGGTGTGTGTGTACACAGATTACTTGTTTTGACTCTTCAGCCTCTTCTTCCTGTTTTCTGAGCAACCATTGTGCCTTAACTTTTTCTGTCTGCCCTTGTGGGACAAAGCAGTGTTTCACTAAGTGCCCTTTGAATATTCCTATCCTTTTGTATCATGTGACTTATTAAAATCAATTTCCAAAAAAAAATAAAATAAAAAAATAAAATCAATTTTCAGCAAACTTTGTTATTGTTGTTCTGTCGCTAAGTCGTGTACTGCAGCACTCCAGGCTTCCCTGTCCTTCACTATCTCCTGGAGTTTGCGAAAACTCATGTCCATTGAGCCGGTGATGCCATCCAACCATCTCATCATGTGACTTATTATTAATAAAAGCCATTTCCAGCAAACTTTGGGGTGGTTTATGTTATGAAATAATGAGAGTGTGTTAATTACAGCCTGGGAGATGATTATAGGCTGCATATTTGCTTTTTATTAAATATACATGAAGAAGACTTACCTGGCAGTCCAGTGGTTAAAACTCCATGCTCCCAATTCAGGGGCCACAGGTTCAATCCCTAGTTGGGAGCTAAGATCTCAGGTGCTGCAAGGAAGATGAAAGATCTCACGTGCTGCAACTGACTCCTGGAACAGCCAAATATTTTCTAAAAATCAATTAAAATACTTAATAAAAAGTAAATAAAACAACCCACAGGGAATTGCCTGGTGGTCCAGTGGTTAGGACTCACTGCTATTACTGAGGCCCCGGGGTTCAATCCCTGGTGGAGGACTGAAGAAACCACAAGCCATGTGGCACGGCCAAATAAATACAAATAAAACAACCGACATTCGTGATCTCACAGTTCTTGAAGTCAGTCTGAACTGAAGTCTTACCAAGCTGAGATCCATGTTGGCAGGGCCACATTCCTTCTGGAAGCTCCAAGGGAGAATAAATCTATTTCCTGGGCTCAGTGGCCCCTTCATCCTCAAAGCCAGTGAAAGGCAGTGGGGTCCTAATAGCACTGCTCTCTGCCTTCTCTCTCCATGTTTCTCTGGCTCTTCTGCCTTCCTCTTCCTCACGATTACACTGGGCCAAGGCAGATAATCAGTCGTGAATATTCATTGGAAGGACTGATGCTGAAGCTGCAACACTTTGACCACCTGATGGGAAGAACTGATTCATTGGAAAAGACCCTGATGCTGGGAAAGATTGAAGGCAGGAGAAGGGGACATCAACTGGGGACCACAGGGAGAAGCCCTGTATCTGGTGCTCTTGGAGGCCCAGAACCCCTGATCGTGGACCAGAGGAAGGTGGCGGCGGTCAGAAGCCAGGGAAGCGGCAGGCATGCCGCGCCAGACCCGAGTATCGCAGAGCCGCTCCGGGTTCCTGGCTGCGTAGGATCCGGGCAGGAAGTGCGGGCTCCGCCTCTGTCGCTGAGCTGGAGAGGAAAGGGCGGGCTCAACTGCCCCCTGCTGGCCACAGCCGGACCAGCAACCTACAGAGAGCCGCTCTGTAGGATGAGGATGAGACGGTTGGATGGCATCACCAGTTGGATGGACATGAGTTTGAGCAAGCTCCAGGAGTTGGTGATGGACAGGGAAGCTTGGCGTGCTGAGGTCCATAGGGCCGCAAAGAGTCGGACACGACTGAGCGACTGAACTGGACTGTAGGCGGATAATCTAGGACAATTTCCTTATTAAAGTCTACTGATTAGCAATTTGAATTCCCCTTCGCCATGTAACCTAACATTCACAGGCTCCGGGGTTAGGATGCAAACATCCTGGCTGTCCTTATTCTGTCTACCGCGCCATCCTTCCTGCCACAGCACGCCTTTGTGCTGCATGTGGCAATGGGTTTGCCTCCTCTCAGCGGGCTCTGACCAGGCCTCCATATGCGGTCGCCAGGGGAGCTGGAGCGGCTCTCTGTAGGTTGCTGGTCCGGCTGTGGCCAGCAGGGGGCAGTTGAGCCCGCCCTTTCCTCTCCAGCTCAGCGACAGAGGCGGAGCCCGCACTTCCTGCCCGGATCCTACGCAGCCAGGAACCCGGAGCGGCTCTGCGATACTCGGGTCTGGCGCGGCATGCCTGCCGCTTCCCTGGCTCCTGACCGCCGCCACCTTCCTCTGGTCCACGATCAGGGGTTCTGGGCCTCCAAGAGCACCAGATACAGGGCTTCTCCCTGTGGTCCCCAGTTGATGTTCAGTCTCTCAGTCGTGTCCCACTCTTTGCGACCCCATGGACTGCAGCACACCAGGCCTCCCTGTCCATCACCAACTCCTGGAGTTTACTCAAACTCATGTCCATTGAGTCAGTGATGCCATTCAACTACCTCATCCTCTGTCGTCCCCTTCTCCCGCCTTCAATCTTTCCTAGCATCAGGGTCTTTTCAGATGAGTCAGCTCTTCGCATCAGGTGGCCAAAATATTGGAGTTTCAGCTTCAACATCAGTCCTTCCAATGAATACTCAGGACTGATCTCCTTTAGGATGGACTGGTTGGATATCCTTGCAGTCCAAGGGACTCTAAGAGTCTTCCCCAACACCACAGTTCAAAAGCATCAATTCTTCAACGTTCAGCTTTCTTTATAGTCCAAATCTCACATCCATTCATGACTACTGGAAAAAACCATAGCCTTGACTAGATGGACCTTTATTGGTAAAGTAATATTTCTGCTTGCTTCTTAATATGCTGTCTAGGTTGGTGAGGGACCACATTTTTCAAAGATCAGGATCTACATCCCAAGAACAGATTCTGCTTTGGGAGTGTGTGTGTGTGTGTGTGTGTGTGTGTGTGTGTGTGTGTCTGTGTGATGAAAACATTCTGCTTTGGGATTATGTGTGTGTTTGTGTGATGAAAACAGATTCTGCTTTAGGACTGTGTGTGTGTGTGATGAAAACAGATTCTGCTTTGGGATTTTGTGTATGTGTGTGTGTGTGTGTGTGATGAAAACGGAGTCAAAATATTTAAAACCATGGAATCCAGGAAGTGGGGTGGGCACACCCTGCGGCCTCTCACGTCCCTTAGTCCTGCTCCTACCTTGCGAACAGCAGCTGACTGTCCCAGGCCCCAGCCCTCCCCCAACCCTGCTTCCCAGCAGTCCCGCCCATCTCTCAGCACCTCCCTCCCCCACTGTACTGCGCCCTCAGCTATTTTGAGCTACTTGTCATAGGTATAATTTGCAAGTGGGAGAATAATAACAGCTCCAGCTCTTCCCAGGACCTCTGTGTCCCCTGCCCCTTTGACCCTGGCGTTTGGGGAGGAGGGGGAAGTGGTGGCTGCTGACTCTCTGGGTCGGTAAGCACAGGCCTCCCTCCCAGCATCAAGGTCGGCAGCCTCCAAGGGCAGATGGACCACTTGGAGCGGTTCCTCTGCCCAGAGACGCCCCAGCACCACACACGCCTCTCTCTCTCTCTGTCTCTCTCTCCCCCACTCTCTCTTGGATGCCACTCAGGCGGCCAAAGGGAGTCAGAACAGAAAAGTCTCCTTCAGAGGGTCAAGGAGCATCTGAGCAACCAGTGTTCCAGAGAGGTCACTGCGGTGGGGGGGGGGGGGGGGGGGGAGACGGGCTCAGGACTGAAGACAGTCCCGTCCGTGCGGACGCAGCCTAAGGCGCTCTGGCAGTGGGGACTGCAGGTGGGCCTGGGGGAGGGGAAGGGGGGCTGAGCAGACCCAGACATGCGAGGTGGTGGGTGGCAGCACTGCCCAGCCCCTCACCCAGAGGTGCACACCTGGTGGGTGGGGCTTGGCGTGAGCCTGGCAAGGTGGACCCAGGCCAAAGGGTGGATGGAGCCTACAAAAGCTGGGACTGACTTAGTCTTGTCAACTAAAAATGATGCACAACTTGGGAGCTGCAAGTTAAGTTTTGTTTGGGGCAAAATGAGGACTGCAGTCCGGGAGGCAGCACCTCAGACAACTCTGAGAGACTGCTCCAAAGAGGCAGTGTGTGTTTGTGTGTGTGTGTGTGTGAGTCGCTCAGTCGTGTCGGACTCTTTGCGATCCCATGGACTATAATCCTCCAGGCTCCTCTGTCCATGGCAATCTCCAGGCAAGAATACTGGAGTACGTTGCCATTGCCTTCTCCAAAAGAGAGGCAGTGGGGGAAGGTCAATATGTAAGATTTGGTGAAGGGGGAGTTCCATGCAATCAAGCACTTACTTTACAAGAGGTTTTCTGCTATTCACGAGCATCTGCTGTCATCATGAAGGGATTTAGTGCTTTTCTAGATATGAGGAGATGCAGGATTGGGATCATGAAATCAGTTCCTGAAAATATCCGATTATCTAAAGACCTGCCCTACCAGGGTACAGATTGCCTCACTCCACCCGGAACTCCCTCAAAGGGCGTTGAAGGTCAATAGCTGCAGCAACTCAGGGTTCAGTCTCCACAGAGGCACAAGGCAGATGCCCTTGTTGTTCGTCATTGGCAAGGCTCTTGGCAAATGCCAATTTGTGGCTGACAGTCTGCAACAGGGGGGCTGGTGAGGATGTCTGGGAGCCACGAGTGGGGCAACAATGGTCAATGGGGGCAATGCTTGTGGGATCAGGTCCCTCATTTCACAGGCCTTCCCTCTGCTGAGGGCTGGGGGTGAAGATACAACCACTGAGGGTGGGGTGGGGGGGACAACTGAATCTGGTCAGCACTTAGGGGCAGGGCTTCAGGACACCAGGACCATGAACCTGTAAAAGAGCTGGCAGGAGAAGGGCAGAGTGAGCTCCAGGCAGGAGGCCAGCATGGGCAAGGCTCAGGGATGGGGGGGCGGGTAGGAGGGCTGGGGCACCAAGGGCTGGATGCCCTTTACGTGGCAGGAAGTCCCAAACATCCGGATGCAGGAAACACATGGACAAACTTATTTCCTGGAGGCATGGCCTGAGGCCCAAGCCTGGCCTTAGGAACAGGGGGGTGCTCCTGGTTGGAGCTGCCTGGCAGTGACCAGGAAAGGACTTCAGGAACCCAGAACCTACGTGCCCTGGGACCCCCAGAGGAGGCAT